GAATTAATATATAAAATAGAACTTTCTAAAATTATTTACAAATTAGATAGATCTATATCAAATAAAAAAGGAAATATTATTATAAAGTATTTATATAAATTCTTTAAATTCTAAATACTCAGTAATATCTATATAATATATTAAGTAAAGTAAGAGATAGTATTATATAAAAAGAAATAAAAGAATATAACTTAAATATTCTTATTTTTTTATTAATTTCTTCTGTATTAACAATCAATCATTGGATTAGTATACTTTAATCATTCCCCTAACATAATTTAAATAAATATTCTTTTTAATATATTTCATTAATTATAAAAAAATAAAAATAGACTAGTATTATTAATTATATTTATTTTTATTATATTACAAATATAAGATCTAGATTTAGCTAATAAAATTATCTAAATAATAACTTTAATAATAATAATACTATTAATAATATTATTAATTAATTAATATAAATTATAGTATAAAAGACATGCTGGTCTAATATATAGATATAATAATATTCTAAACAATCTAAAAATCTACTTTATAAAAATATTATAATATTTTATAATAAAAAAAATAAAATAATTATTAATTTATTATTAAATAAATTTTAATAATAAGTCTCGGACTTATAATCTAATAAAAAAATAGTTATATAAAGTAATAGAAAAAAGTAGATTAATTTAATCAAGAGAGATTAGAGATTACGGTGATTAAGTAGAAAGATACAGTCTCATGGCCCCAGAGCAGCTACTGCCAATATATATATATACTATACCTCTTCCCTGACATTCTAGACTATGAAGTATTAATATTATAATTTATTTAAAAAATATTTAATTACCTATAAAGTTCTTTCAATAATAATATTAAAATTCTTAATCTTCTTTCTTTTTAAATTACTGTTTTATAATTTATTTAGAAAAAATTAAAAAACTTTTTTCATATAACATGAAATATTTTATACAAATATGGCTTTGACTAATTATAATATATAGAGTGGGTATATCTGACTGTTATATCTAACTGTTAATCTGACTGTTAATTAATAATTAGATTAAGATGTAAGAATCTTCTTTACTGTCTTATTAAGATTAGATTATAATTAAAAGATTATCTTAATAATTATTAATCTTTTTTAAACATAAATTAAAAAAATTAGATATAATAGATATATTTATAATTATAGATTAATTTCTAATTTTTATATATTTCTTATAATATTATTATATTAATAATAAGATTATATTAAATATTATATTATAAGATATTATAAATAATATATTACTTACTATATCTGATATTATTAGCTAATAAAAATAAACAGATAACTTTTATATTAGAATTTTAAAAAAATCTTAGTTTTTTTTAAAAAAAAGATATAATTATATCTATATCAGCTTCAAAATACTAATAATATAACTATAATTATTATTAGCTTTATAGAATCAGAAAAATTCTACTAGTATAATATTTTTTTATCTTTAAATATATATCAGTAAAAACATAATCTATTATATTTATATATATTAAAATTATATAATAATAATAAGTTTTTATTAAAGATATCTTCTAATCTTACTTATGGATAAGATTTTGTAATATCTAATAATTATTATATAAAATAGTTTTATAGAAATTATTTATAAGTCTAGAATTATTTATTAAAGACTTTTATAAATAAGTTCTAGTATTAAAATACAGACAAACTAAAATAATAAAAAATAATTTAAATAATATTAAAACATAGATAGACTAAAGTAGCAGAAAAATTGCTTAGATAGATAATAATTATTAATAAAATATTTAGATAAAAAATAATAAATAAGATATATTATAGATAGACTGAGTATAGAATTATAAATAAAATATAATATAAATAAATTAAAAATAAGATAATAGATAATATATAACTTAAGATTATAAATAAGATTTTAGAGATAAGAAGATTTTATTTTAATAAAAATTCATATATTTAGTAGTCAGTTCTAATAATATTCTCAGATTGTATTAGAAAATTCTGTAAAAAAATTTTATAAATGTTTTTAAAAATTATACTATAATATTTAAAGAATTCTATAGAAATTTTTATAAATAATTTTAATCATATATTTTTTTAATAATAATATTTATAAAAGTTTTTTGTAGATTTTTCTAGAATACTGATTACTGCTTAAGTCTTTTTATTATAATTTTTAGAAAATATAAGTTTTTAGATAGATTAAATAAAATAATATAAAATATTATAATCAAATAATATAAATAATTTAGATTATCTAAATCTATAATAAATACTTAAAAGATTTTTTAAATTAATAAAATAAATAATAAATCTAGTTATTATTATATAAAAAAGTTTATTAAAAGATTTATTAGTCTTAGAAAATTATTTAAAAATATATTAATAATTTAAAAATAATATATAACTAAAATAAATCTATAAATATATATATTTATTATTATTTTATATTATAAAAACAGTCTTTTATTAAAAGCTTACTTTTTATTATTATTTAATATAATCTTAAATTAATAAAACTAATATTAAATAAAATATACTATTTTTTTTCTTCTAATTATTTTTAAAATTAAAAAGATTTATCTTATATAAATTATTAATAAAGATATAAATAATTAGAATAAATAGAAATTAATCTAAATATATCTAATCTAAGCTAAGATCTAAAAGAATATAGCAGACAGATCCTAATATTAAGAATAATTAATTATATTCTCTTATCCTGATTATTAATCTAACAGTTAAATATAAGAATTACTGATAACCTGACCTGACCTGGCCATTGCCCACTCTAATGATATGAATTTAAATTATAAAATTATAAGAAATAGAGTAGTTATAAACTATGTATGAATATGTGTTTATTACAGAATTAAGATATAATTAAATTATTTCAAATAATGTTACTAATCTTGTCTTTATATGTCCTTGTAACTCAATATATTTATAAAAGCTTTATAAATTATATATGTAAACATTTATTAATATTATATTAATTATCAGGATTACTATTCTTATAATATATAATAGTATATATAATTTTTATAAGAATGTGTGATTTGAGATAATATAAAGAAAATATATCTATTATAAAGTTCAGATAATATTTATATTACTTAAAGTATTATTACTAGTCTTTTATCTGGCTTCTCTTATAGATAGATATATCATATATCTATAAGAATTTTATAAATTATATATTATAATATTTATTAGTATAATATTTTTATAAAAGACTGCTCCTGTAGTATAAGTATTTCTTATAATATAGTATATAATAAGTATTATAAGAATTACTATTCTTATAATTTTATTATTTAGAGTAATTATATAATTCTAAATATTTATTATTATTATATATCATCTTATTGATAATTGCTAATTAATCTTACTCTCTTTTTTTCCTATTTACTTAATTCTTTTTATAAATTATAGTGAGCTTTTATGAAAGTTTATCTGATATTATCACACTATCTATAACTATTGTACCCCTTAAAAATTTAAAACTTAATACTTTGAATTTTTACAAAATAAGTCTTTATAATCTTTTTAATTATACACTATCTTAAATTCTTTATTAAATATTAATTATAATAATATTATTATATAATAATATCAAATTTCTATATTCAAAATATAAAAACTATCTTAATATAAGATAAAATCTTTATTTAAAATTATTAAGATTTTTTTATTTTATACAGTTATATATTAGTAAGATATTATAAATATCAGATAAAAGATTATTATTCTTTTTCTTTGATTAATAAAGATTGAAGAAATAGCTATAAAAATAATTATATATATATTAAATATATTAGCTATATGATTATAACTATATAAATAGTTCTATAAGGTTGAAGTAAAAAATTGTTGTTGTTAAATTATACTAAAATAATTCTATAGTACAGATTTATTTCTATAGAATTGTCACATTGTGCTATATACTGCCGCCCCCTCCTGCCGGGCTGTAGGGTCCCATTAGCCAAGTGTAAGATCTTTGGAGTTCCCGCCTAAAATAATTTTAAAATATATATTTTTTAAATATTTTTTATAGTCTACTATCTCCTATTTGTTATAGATACTCATAAGAATTCTATATGACATGTGATCAGATACCCGCTAGTGTGATGATACCTTTGCAAGGGGCTGTTCTCAGCACGGGTATTCATATCCTTGCACCTTGACAGATAGACTATTATATAATAGTATCTCTGATGCTTAATCTCAATAGAATAAATTTGGTATCCTGCATCTCCCATTACAAAGAGTAAAAATATTCTTGCAGAATCCTATCTGTGGACAATCTTAGGAACAGCATTGAATTTCAAAATTATTTTGTATCTTGGCCTGCGACCCGCTTTGATTTATGTAGTACAGCACAGAGTACAGGTCTGCAACTACATACGGAGTATGATCACTGTTTTTAAAGACCCAAATCACATTAGCCCTACCGTCTGCCCACAGAGACTGACCAGTGAGCAGGTATACTGGAATGGTGTTTTTGGATGATGATGTGGTTCTACTCAGCATACACAAGCAAGCGGCAGTGCAGTCATGGGTTATCCTTTAGAAAGAATTTCTGTCATACCACTGTGGCTATGCAATATGTAGGTACCATAAAGTGCAGATGTATCCTGTACTTCTAATACAAGATACCATCCGCACCTAGGTAAGGTAGCCTCTGAGGCTGGTATGGAGGATGGCTCTAGATTAGTTGATTGGGCACTCGGGCAGCAGACTAGTAGTGTACTTGGGCAGTGAAGACCTATAGAAACAAAAGGGGATTCACGGCTCAGTGCCTAACAGCAATACCTTAAAATGATGACAACAACTAACATAAAAACCTTGACTTTGATTATGTCTGCCATACACAATAAATACCCCACAATTAAGTAGGCCTACACAAATGGGTTTTGTCAGACAGTCAACTACATTCCTTGTTGTTTCGCTGTGACAGTCTTGTTAGATTTCCCCTCCAATCTCTAATTCCTCCCGCATCCCTGCTTTGCTACTTTGTGTTTTCTGGACCCATGACTCCCTTCTCACCCTTGGAAAAAAATCTCCATCTTGTTCTAGAACCCTTTCCATCGTGCTTTGTAGCCGATGCGTGCCTAATGCTCACCGGAGCCCTATTGTGAAATCAATATCTAATTGCAGCACAAAGAGATTCTTCGGCCGTGCAGTCCACACAATCAGGGACTGGAGTAATGAATACCGACACAACTGCCAAGGGCAATTGCGAAACTCCACGCTATCTGTACAAACTTTCATTCCGGATTACCTCTGCAAAATCGGTTGTCCTCGCAAAAATTACGCTGAGAACTAGGGAATGCTATTAGCATCTCCTTGCTAGGCAATTTTCATTAACACGTTCGGCACTGGAACTGAATACCAGTAAGGCCAAGAGGCAGGAACTTCAGAACTGATAGCCAACCACAATGTCGTGTGTTTCAGCACATTCGGTCAATAGTATCACCAACTGACAGACAACTAGGTTTAATATCACCATCGGTCCCAGCCCAAACGATTCAGACCAGTCTTTGTCCGACGAGGAAGACTCGTCGGGAGTTCAAGTATCCCCACCATCAGATTCCGAAAGTCATGGATACCATGATCCTTATGAAGAATGGGCACATCTTCCGTATCCTGACGAGTTAAAGCCATCCGATTCGGCGTCTCGACCCCGGATGTCGCGTCGTACGCGTACTCGGACTACGATCCATGGCTCGTCTTCAGCCCCGAGCCGTCGACACTCCACAAGACACCACCACATGTTGCCGGAACGTGACACCTTTTCCCGGCGTTCCCGTCGCCAACCTTCCCCAGAATCCCCGGAAAGCGCTGATTCAGCGGAAGAGTACGGAAGTGCTTATGGCCAGACATCTCAAGAAAGGCGGTTTTGGTCATCTGTGCCTCAAACTTCGGGATATGCCCACAGTTCATCCCCTGGACAGTCTTATGTCTATTCAAATGGTGCTTCTATACCACATGGGCCATTCATGCATCCAGCAGGCCTTCCACCTCCGTCTGACCAGCTTATAAGGCTAGGTCAGCATGGTCAAGTTAGCCAACAGACTCCGTACGCCCACCCAACCTATGGATATACCTCTCAGTTACAACAACAACCTCATGGCCCTATGCCATCATTTTATGTTCACGAACATAACCCCGGACACCATGGACACCCCGTTCCGACAGGATCCTCCCATAGCCGAGGGGATGTGCATAATCCAGCCCAACATTCAATGTCGCATCATGTCACAACGCATGGCTCATCTCCATATGGTGGACCTCCAATGAGCCCTCATGAACTAGTTCCTTATGGTCCAGGTAACTATTACCCCTTCAGAGAACCGTACCCTATGGTCCCTGGAATGATATCGCCATATTTCAATTCATATCAACGTGTGCCATCCCCAAGTCAAGTTGAGTCGCATGAATCACCTTCTCCTACACCTGCAGACTCAGCAAAGGATGAAGCAATCGCAAGGCTAGAGAAATTGATTCTAGAGGAACGGACTGAACGCGAAGCCCGTGAAGCTCGAGAAGCAGCCAGGCAAGCCGCAATTGATCAAGAAGCCGCCGAACACGCCGCGAGAGAAGAGCGGGCTGCGCATGAAAAGAAAATAGCAGAGGAAGCTGCTGCTCATGCAAGGGCGGAAGCGGAGCAGAAAGCTGCAGAAGAGGCTGCAAAGGCAAAGAAGGAGGCGGAAGAAGCGGCGGCGGCGGCGATAGCGGAAGCTACCGCAGCTGCCACGGAGGCTGCGAATGCAGCAGCAGCAGAGGCAGTTGCAGCCGCGACAGCAGCCGCTGCAACCCCGCCTCCCCCGGAAAAAAAAAAGCCCATCAAGTTCAAGGATGCTGTTGGCCGAAAATTCAGTTTTCCATTCGATTTATGCTGTACCTGGCAGGTAAACTACACCTTTCCCATCGATTGAATACATTCGCTAATCACATTTTGAGAAAAGGGGATGGAAGAACTCATACGACAAGCCTTTCTTCATATAGAGGTAATCGGCCCTCATGTCGCAGAAGGCCATTACGATTTGGTAGGCCCCAATGGCGATATAATTCTCCCCCAGGTTTGGGAAACTGTTATCGAACCTGATTGGACTATAACAATGCACATGTGGCCTATACCCGAGAAGCCAAAAACTCCCGATCCAGTTCTACCCCCAGACCCACCTATGCCACAAGACATACCCCCTTCGGAAACACCCGCAGTGACAGATGATGCGGCTGTAGTTATACTTGAGGCGCCAAAAAAGAAAACCGAACCCCCTGGTATGTAATTAATGCTTATTCCAACAATCTTTTATTGTTGGCAGATGCTTGCGACCAACCATTCAATTGACTGATCAAATTCCAGGCCCCAAAAAGCCACGCCCCAAAGCACCAGACCCTGGTTCATTCGCCATGTGGATGGTTGGTGGTAACCGTTTAAGGCTCAACAGGGCTTTAAAAACGGGAAAAAAGCCTAAAGCAACTCAGCACGGAATCTCTTGCCGTGTTATGTGAAGTGACTCGGAATCTACGGATTTGTCCTCAATTATACAGTCCACATTAAGAGTCATATTCGATATGATGAGCACTTGATTTGGGCAAGTCTATCTCAGTGTGGTGGAAATTCTGCTAAGATGAGGGGGATACATATCCCCTGTCTCTATACTAACCTGGGTCAGACTTTCTACAACATTTTTGTGGCGAATGTTGTGGATATCGAGTTGTCTCCGATTTGTTCTGCTTTAGAGGGGCATGGCTTTTCCTCTCGTCTTTTCGGGATTGGTTTCTCATGCTCCTGGTGGTGGTGGTTTGTAGCTCCCTTCCTAGATGGTTGGCATTTGCTGTCTATCTCTCAGGATGAAGTGAAACTGCACAACCAAAAATTTGCGATGTTTTATTATGACTGTACCTGACTCATTATTATATTATACCCATAGATCCATCTTCTCATGACATCTCTTTAATCACTTGTAATACTTACTCTTGCCAACTTCTCTTCAACCTTCAAACACTATGTGCCTCAATTTCTTTACAACGATCTACTTGCAGACTTTGATGTGTGCTATACTCATAGGGAAAAACAAGGTAAGTTGCAAGTACTCCGTGCTGTCAGATTCTAGAATGAGATTTGAATGGCCACAATAGCATACACCTGCCCCCTTTATTTGGGAATGAGGGGGTTCCAATTGATATGATCACCATGTATCTCCCCAAGAAGATCATTCGTCGCAGTAGAAGTTGTCACATCTGTCAGTGCACCTTTAAGACTATCAGGTCTGGAATCTTTTTGTTGCTCAAGACTGCCCAAGTGATCCAACCGACGACTGCCATGCGATAGCACTCGAGCGCCAAATTGAGAGTCTTTTACCCGAGCAGCTGGGTCATGTCCAGCAGGTCTTTTGGTCTCTTGTATGGGAGCTTCTGGTATGCTATCTGTATGGCATGATGTCGGTTTTCGTGGTACCGGGGGTATTATCTTTGACTTGTCACCTGCTTCTGCAGATGCCCGCTCAGCATCTATGGGGATCTGTACCCTTGCAGGAGCTACCATCATCCCTTTGCTATCCCTACTGTGCGGTGAAAGATAGTTGGGCATAATCCTTGGTGGTAGCGTGGGCTTCTTCGTACGATTCTCGGTGGTGCATCTTTCAGTGGAAACGGACGCCAGTGTCCAATTAGTGTTGTCGTCACATAAAAATGGATTTGAGTCACGATTGATATTCAGTACTAAGCCTTCAGCGGGAGGTCTCAGTTCCGACTTCACAGGCGTCTCTGTATTTGATATTAGGACCAATGATTGAATGGGAGCAAATGCGAGGAGCGAAAAAAACGCAAGGTGGTTTAAATATCCATAAACTTGACATACCATTCTTCAACCACCATTTATGGTAATCTGAGCTGGCAAAGGGGAATTTAGCTGTAATTATCTCAGGGGATATTGACACGCTTTTTTCCGTGCCCCCTTTCTTGCTCGTATCTGCAGGAATAGTATGAGTGGCACTTTGCCGTTGAGTGTAGAGAGCCTGCTGAAGTTTGGATTTTCGGCCTTCATCGATGACATGTATCATGCAAGTGAACAAGGCTAAGACTGGGCGGTGATCCGAAAGCCTTAGATCAGCAATGCCATAGTTCCATTGCCGAAGGTTGGACCCCCTCCATAGAATGCGGTCACACCATGCAGGTATACGCGCCTTCTCCCTGTAAGCACTTAGCTGGCAAGCTCCAGTCGAAATGACCAAGTAGCTTACGAGGTATCGTATTCGTTTCCCCCGATGTCATATTTGTAGGTAGGGGGAAAGGTAATCGGCCCTTCCGTGTAGAAGTGGAAAGCCCGACCTGCCACCATTTGCAAGTTTAACTGTCCTCTATTGTTAGAGAAATACCAATCCATGCGCTAGGAGAGAAGCACCTGATCATTATCGTAAAGTGTCTGGAAATCCCCCTCTTGCGCAAGCTCCCTGGCTTTCTGATTGCTAAGGCCGATTCGATAGTTGAAGTCCCCGAGCCATACAATGCTGTCATGGTCATCAATTGACCTATTTCTTAGAAATCTTAGTCCACGAAGGATAGTTTCATAGTCCCTGTTTCTCTCATCATAGTTTGCAAATCCAGCTGCTAGATGGGCGGTGACGAAGCAAATTCGGGTACTCGAATATTCGAAGCGAATAGCACAGCCTCCTTTGTTGCCTGCCATGCCCGACAGGCCCGTCTATATGAAGTCAGCGAGGTAATTATGGATCTTTTGAGGCATTACCTTTTTCACGCTGCCTTCCACATTCTTTATGTCGTGCAAGATGTCTTCTCTAACATATACAATCAAAGCAGTCCCAACGAGCTGGCCACTTCGCAGGAGGACATATTTGGGGATTCCTCTCGACATTGCACGATTGTTCAAACAACTGTGCACAGCAACTTCCCATACTTTACGCGTCGTCGGGTCTGTTGACATTATCTGCTGTGGACTCAACTCGACTATTTCTTGAAACCCAACCGCGTATACTAATGGATCATCGCCCAGGTGATCGGTGTCCGGAAACAGCCAGGGCCGTAAATCAACCTCGGGTCCTTGATGACGTCCATTGACGTTGAATGTACCAGTCCAAATTTTGACCGGCCTGGTGAATGAATATTCTGATGATCTTTGACTCAGCTCCTCCGTGACCAAGTCATTAATTGGATCGTAAAGCTGTACTGGCGCTTGATCTGTCAACCGTCCAAGTAAATGATCGATGGTGTTTTGACGAGCCTTGTCTGAGAAATTGTTAACATAAATTCGAGTCGCCGTTTTGCGTGCATCGGCGAGTGCACCGGCAATGGACATTTTCCCATGCCGAGTGAATGAACTTTTCAATGCGCCAGTTCCAGCGTAGATTTTCGACAGGGCGTCCCCATTATCTGCCCAGAGAGTCGAATGCCTCAGCTGGACATCTGGGCCTAACTCCCCTCCTTGATGAGAGAAGAAACATTCAAGAGCCATGGAACTGATGATTGTTTGTACAAGATTAGTTCTGTCGAGACAATCGAGGCAGTTCGTTCGGAAAACTCCCTCTTGTTGAAGTACAATAGATGAACTCTTTGGCGCGTGATGCCTATCTAACAGCATAGGGCCTACCTCCCCGGACTGGAAGTAAGCAAATCCTTGCAAAGAGGGAAATATTTCATGTTTGATCTGGACACTGGCCCCATATCCTAAGGGCCCACGGGCTTCTGCGTGAAAATCGAACTCTGTCATCTGTAGAAAGGAGCCGTTAGATAGATCGTTGGTGCCTATCTGACTTTGGGAATTGTCTCTCAACAGGTCCCTAAACCTCGACGAAAGGCTGACTTCCCCGGGTTTCAATTCACTAAGCAGGTTTATCACATGGATGGTGCCATATTCTAGCTCAAGGAGTCTGAAGTGTTTTTCGAAGGCGTGTCGCGTTGCCTCCATAGATCTTGTTATTTCGATTTTCTGCTGACCCGGGAGAAAGCCCGTGGCCTGCTCCCAAAATAAAGGCACAGAGCCACGAATTTGGACATAGGAAAAGATGATATCCGGGGCGATCCAGAGCAATGTTTCTGTCTCAACGAAATTCGCGACGTGTCCGTCATCGTCAATACCTCGAGAATTAAATCTCGTTCCTGCACGTCGAGAAGATTGGCGCGAGATTAATGTCAAAGAGGCAGGGAGATAGGTTTTTGTATGAGGTAGGGGCTGAGCAGAGGCAGGGATTGCCAACGTGCCACAAAATCCCCGTATAACGCATGTCAGTATTTGGGATGAGTCTAGCTGCCATTTGTCATGTAAAGACAACTTATTCCTGAATATAAGAAGTGGATTGATCATGTACGAGTTCCAAAGCATATCTTGATCGAGAGAATCTATGTCGAAAGCCGTCGAATGATCTGATCTGACACATGTTAGCCTACGTTGGCACGGAGTTACTGAGAGAGAGCTCACCGGTCTTGCAGTCTGTCTGTGAGATTAAAATCAAGGCTATAATAGAAGCTGCCGTCACTAAGCAGTTTTTTCAAGGCCAGGAAAGGAATTTCAAGATCCTGTTCTTTGCTCTCAGAGTTCATCCCATGGCTAAATTCGCCAGTCGCAATTGAAGACTGGCTTTCGAAGTCAAAGGTGTCTTCGTATTTTGAATGATTCAGGCAAACTTCGCTTAAAGGTCAGCTACTGCATATTAACCACCAATAAATGAGGGCTTCCCTACAAAACTCCACGTTTTCGATCCGTGAAACAGTTTCTCCGGGCCTGATAGTTGCAGCTTTACAAGAGCCAGTAACCACACACAGGAAGACATCCCCGCCCAGAGTTATTAAACCAAGTGTGCCATGACCGTCGCCAAGAAGGCGAAAGCCTTGCAAATCCAAGGATGATAAGGAAGTGAATTCAACTAAACAGCGCGGCGTAGTCTTGCTGTGACGTTCTGCATCGAGTCCTAGACCGATTGAACCATATCGAAAGACTAGTGCGTGCTCAGCTGCAACCAACGCAACAACACGACTGGGATAATTCTGGGCATAGATTCGTATGTTGGGCATTGTTTGATTATGGATAAATCTTCTTTATTGCTCATGGTGGCGCAAGATAGAGGAAAATTCAAGACAATGTCTGATTGACCTATTAGCATCGACATCAAAAATAGTTTAACAGCCCCCCATAAATGTCAGAATGGGTGGCCAACTAAAATACAGGATGTGTATTGATGCATTCAAGGGCTGGCAAAGCTCAGCCCCAGGTGATGTTGTGTTGTTGACTTGTTCAGAGAAACTACTCCGTATGCGTACTGGCCCCCACCAAGGTGGAGAAGGCTAGTACAAGTTAGTACTAGATGAGCCGGAGGAAGGAATACCTATGTCGGGTATAAAAAGACCTTCTCCGACTTTAATCAATTATGAGTGTTTACCTATAGAGATATTTTTTTAAAAAAAGAAATAGAAAATAAGTAAAAAAGAACTTGTGCCAGTATATTATTAATTTTGTTGGGGCGGGCGGAGTTGCACTAGGTGCGGGCTCAGAGTAGAAAGCGGATGGAAAGGGACAGATTACAGGCTAGATCTAGTAGGCGGTCAACATTTGTCACCTGCGGGAATTTTCGAATTCTGGCTCTACTACTACACATTCTTGGCCTCATCCAAGATTAATAGATCTCATATCAAATTTCTTATGCGATTAAGAAATTTGAGGGATCTCGAAGAGGAAAGCCAGAATCAAGGTGAAGAATAAGTCCAAGTGACTTAATAAATCAAAAGGGAGCAGATAGTGAGAGGCAAACAGTTTTTTTTTTTCAAAGTCTGAAAAGGTGCGAAAGGGCAAAAAAGTGGTTGAGTTTACACCGATAACAACAAAATCGTTGCCGCAAATGGGCCTTGCAGCACCTCGCAAGTGAGTCATGTTTGCTCTGGATATATTTTTTTTTTTGTCATTGAGGGGCATTCTAACCAGTCAATCGCTCAGAAAAACCAAGATATCCCACGACCCCAATAATACAAACTGGGCACGGTCAACAAGTGGTTTTGGGCATAGAATCCTCAGCTCCCAGGGATGGACACCCGGGAGCTTTCTGGGCGCACAAAATGCCGCACACTCCGATATGTTCACCGCTGCAAGTGCATCACACATTAGGGTGATCATGAAGGATGATACACTTGGACTTGGGGCGCGGTCTAAGCGAGATCCTCTAAACGAGCCTACCGGTCATGATGCATTCAAAGGATTACTCGGTCGGTTAAATGGCAAATCCGATGCAGATTTAGAAATTGATCGTCAGAAGCGAGACAACGCAAAGTTAGCCCGTTATGCTGCAACAAAATGGCAAGCAGTCACCTTTATAAGCGGTGGCTTATTGTCCCAAGAAAAGATTGATCCAATTGTCAAGAGTGATGCGCAAAGCACCCAGAAAGTTCACAAGAAAGACAAGTCATCTGGCATTGATTCTGGTCGCAGGGAAATACCTATGGCCACGACTAAGTATGCTGATGATACAAAGCAAAAGAAGAGTAGTTTTCAAGATGAAAACACTGTGAACACAATCAAGTCAAAGGATCGTCGTGAGAAGAAAGCTAAAAAGAGAAAACACATTGAAGGAGAAAGCATACCATCTATCAATAATCCTGACGAAACATTCATGTCTACTGCGAAGCCTTCCAGGGAACGTCGCCCCATGGGGAGAAATGTTTTTAGGGGTCGACATATCGCGCAAAAGAAGAAGTCTCTTATGGACGAGAAGTCCCTCAATGAGGTATGTTTCCACTTATTGATGTCTGTAATCATACTGAAACTAATTTTTTATTACAGATATTTATGATCAGGTCTTAGTGCTGCTTACAACTTACAAGTAATATTAGTTGTCTAGAAGTGATTGCATCCTACTTCCGGTCATCCTAATATCCATTAATGGCGATCCATGTGAATTGGGTTTAAAGCGTTGACAAACTAGCATGCCTGGATTGGTGAAGTCTGGTTGGTGTCTTCTTTGGCGTTGTTATATCATAGGGACTTATCTTGATTAAATGATATTTGTTTTGTCTCTTTCTCACTATTGGACAAAGTACCAAAAGTCATATAGATAGCTGACTTTTGTTAAAACATATACTATAAATCTTCATGTCTGATCTCCCTAGGAATTACCAGTGAAGCACCAGCGCACAAACAAGTTACTGGGAATGTTGACTGTACCTAGCAGAATGCGCGTTCCTTTGAAGATATATCTTTTCTCAAAAATATATGCTTCATATATATTTATATATATTGTAAGGGATGATATCCGCGGGATATGCATACTTATAAGGATGAAGCCCATCTCCTCCTGGGTGTATCTGAGTATATGTATAAGATTCTAGAAATCTATAGATAACTATAAATAATATTAATCTTTTAATTTAATAATAATAATTTCTTTAAATTATAATTTTATATATTTATTTATAATTATTGATTATAGATTTAATTCCTGCAGTAAATTTTAATAAACTAAAGTTTATATTATTTAACTAAGAATTAATTTTAGTAGAACTAGTTTAATTATATAATTCTTTTAGTAGCCTATTATATATAACTATACTAGCCTGAGAAGATTAGCCCGGGGCTTTATTATATATAGTACAACACAGTGGGATAGTAATCCCTGGGTGGCACGCCTGTGATTGGCCAGAGAGCCTAGTTTATGGCCAGAGAGCCCGTGATTGGCCAGAGTGCCGAGGCCAGAGAGCCTGTGATTGGCCAGAGTGCCAGGGGCCAGAGAGCCCGTGGGAGGGAGGTAGTTGTAAGGGATGATATCCGCGGGATATATATACTTACAAGGGTGAAGCCCACCTCCTCCTGGGTGTACCTGAGTATATATATGGGATTCTAGGGATCCGCAGGTAACTGAGGGTAATTTTAGTCTTTCGGCTCAGTGGCAGCAACTCCCCTAGGTTGCGGTCTTACATATATTCCATGTGTTTTCTTAAAATATATACTTCATAATTTTTTTCTTATATATATCTACAAGAAAGAAATCAGTGATTGAGTAAGAATAGTCAGGTTAAGGTAATTGGTAATTACAATATAACTAGTAGTTAGGGATTTAAACCTTCAATCATAGCAAGTATATCAAAATGATTTGATAAATAATAAGTAGTTGAATGCCATAGGACCGGTCAGGAATAGAGTGGTTAACAGCCAGGATAGATTAATAATAAACAGTTAAGAAATTTAGATAATAGTTAAAATATTTTATAAAAATTAAAATAAATATATAAATATTATTTAATTAATAAATATAATCTAAACTAGATAATTATATAATTAATTCTTAAATTATATAATATATAAATATTATTATAAAATATTTAATAATTAAAAATATTATATAAAATAAGCCTAGAATTAATTAATTATATATTAAATATAAATTAGCTATATTAAATAATAATTAAAATATAATTTATCAATAAATATTATATTATTTCTTAAATTTAATTGTAGAATTTATATTTTACAATTTATTAAGATTAAATATACTTTTTAAGAGATTGATTTTTAACCTGTATTTTAATTATTAATCACTCTAGTCAGGAAGTACTGACAATACAAGCAATATTATCTCAATTATACTATATAGCTGCATTTGGGATCAGGTATATAAGTAACTATTATTATAATATAGTTGAAAGAATAGTAATCCTTATAACTCTCACAATGTATTATATAACAAGGAATACTTATACTACAGAGACAGTTTCTTATAAAGATATTATATTAGCAGATACTTTAATATATAATTCATAGAATTCTCGCAGATATATTTATTTGTAAAAGAACTTAGATAAAAGACTAGTAATAATACTTTCAATAATTATAAGGGATTGCTGATATGAGATAGTGTAAGGAATAATATCCGCGGGATGTATTCTTACAAGGATGAAGTCTATCTTCTCTCAGATATATCTAAGTATATATATAGAATTCTAAAGATCTGTAAATAATTATAAATAATATTAATTTTTTTATTTAATAATAATAATTTTTTTAAATTAAAATTTTATATATTTATTTATAATTATTAATTATAGATTTAATTTTTATAATAAATTTTAATAAATTAAAGTTTATATAATTTAATCAAGAATTAATTTTAATAAATTTAGTTTAATTATATAATTCTCTTAGTAATCTGTTATATATAATTATACTAGTCTAAGAAGATTAGTCTCAGGCTTTACTATATATACTATATAATACAGTGGAATAGTAATCCCTGGATAGCACGCCCGTGATTGATCAGAGAGTCTAGTTTAGGGCCAGAGAGCCTGTGATTGGCCAGAGTGCCAGGGGCCAGAGAGCCCGTGGGAGGGAGGTAGTTGTAAGGGATGATATCCGCGGGATGCATTCTTACAAGGGTGAAGCCCATCTTCTCCCGGGTGTACCTGAGTATATATATAGGATTCTAGGGATCCGCAGGTAACTGCGGGTAATGTTAGTCTTTTGGCTCAGTGGCAACAACTCCCCTAGGTTGATGTCCTACAGATAGTGTGAAGAAGATATATCTATCAAAATGTCAAGATAGATATTATATTACTTAAAGTATTGTTGCTGATTTGATAGCTAGATCTATCTTTATAAATAAGTATATTTATAAGAGATTATATAGATTATATATTCTCTCGCTGCAGAGTAAGCACAGATAAGAAATATAATATAATAATCTTTAATTAGAATCTTAATCAGATAAGATATATATATCTTATAGATATTATAGAGATTATTATTCTTATAAATTATTTCTCTCTCTTAAATATTGATTTTTAAAATTATTCTTATATAGATAGGATATTATTGAAATCTTTATTATACTCTCTTTTTCTTTCAAGAGATTGGCACAGAGAAAAAATAATCTTTTCTTTTTTATAATAAATTATTATATTTATTATATTTATTATATTTATTATATTTATTATATTTATTATATTTATTATATTTATTATATTTATTATATTTATTTTTTATAATAAACTGCAGCACTTGCTATATCTGTTTTTTATAATAAATTAAAACACTTATCTTATCTGTTTCTTATAAGAAACTATAGTACTTGCTATATCTATTTCTTATAAGAAACTGTTATATTAAATATTATTATATTTAATATATATTTTAAATATAGCAATATAATATATATAATACTTAATCTAATTTAAGTATAAATTAAGACTTAGAACTTAAGATTTAAATCTTAAAATTAAAGAATATAATTTTTATAATCTTTTTTCTTTCCTCTTTATTATTATTAATAAATATTTTATTAAGAGCCTCCGCGAGACTTTTAAATTTATAGAATTTTAATTTTCTATAATTTTAAGATATCTAATCTAACTTAAGTTCTTAATTCTTTATAATCTTTTAATATCTAGTCTAACTTAAATCTTATAATTCTAAGATATTTAGTCTGATTTGAATCTTTATAGCTAATTAGTTTAATATTATATTATATTATTTTTTTATATTATTTTATTATCTTATTTTTTTGAAAAAAAGATTAGTATTTTTATAATTAATTAATTTATTTTCTTTTTTCTTTAACTTTGTCTTTCCATATGTCTAATTCTATATAATAAATAATATCTAAAAATTTACTACTAAGCCATTGTAAGGGATGATATCCGCGGGATATATATACTTATAAGAGCAAAGCCTATCTTCTTCTAAATATACTTGACTATATATATAAGATTCTAGAGATATGTAGATAACTATAGAATATAGATAATATTAGTTTCTTAGCTTAGTAATAATAATTCTTCTAGATTACTGTCTTATATATTTATCTATAGTTATTAATTATAGATTTGATTCCTGTATATTATGGGGTTCTTGTACAAACCCTTCAAATCCCAAATACTTGACAATAGAGTGGCTAACGGCCAGGTCAGGTCAGGTTAATTAGAATTTTTATATCTAACCGCCAGATTATAATTAGATTAAGAAAATTTTTATATTTAATTATAATATAACTAAAAATCAGATAGTTAATTATTTTAATTATTTTTAATATTAAGATTTATTTGCTATATTTTTTTTAGTTTTAATATTATTAAGATATATCTAAATTAAATAATTATTAATCTGATTATCTTTACTATTATTTAAAAATATATAAAAAGAAGCTTTTTAGATTAAAAAATATAATTAAAAAAAATTAATATCTTTTTTATTATTATTTATCAGAAATAATAAAAAAACCCTAGTTATATTAATAAAATTTAGTTTTTTATAAAGTTATTATTCTTATAATAAGAAATATATATAAAAATATATAATTATTATTTTATTTTAATTATATATCTTAATTATATTATATAGAATATTAGAAAAATTATATATTAATTATTAATTAAAATATTAAAAATAAATATATTATTTTTATTTTATTATTTCTTCTAAATTAGACTATTCTTAGATTTATAAATAAGATATAGCTTAAAGAACTATTAATAAAATTAAAAATAAATAAATAATTAAAAACATTATAAATAATTAGATTATTAAAGTAAAACAGATTAAACAAATTAAATAAATTAAATAAATTAAATAAATTAAATAAATTAAATAAATTAAATAAATTAAATAAATTAAATAAATTAAATAAATAAAAAATAAATAAATAAATAAATTAAATAAATTAAATAAATTAAATAAATTAAAAAATAAATAATAAATAAATTAAATAAATAAATAAATTAAATAAATTAAATAAATTAAATAAATTAAATAAATTAAATAAATTAAATAAATTAAATAAATTAAATAAATTAAATAAATTAAATAATAAATTAAATAAATTAAATAAATTAAATAAATTAAATAAATTAAATAAATTAAATAAATTAAATAAATTAAATAAATAAATAAATTAAATAAATTAAATAAATTAAATAAATTAAATAAATTAAATAAATTAAATAAATTAAATAAATTAAATAAATTAAATAAATTAATAAATTAAATAAATTAAATAAATTAAATAAATTAAATAAATTAAATGAAATAAATGAAAT